TGAGTCAATTGAAGGTGCGGATACTATTGCTTCGGGTAACAGGTTACAAGAATTGATGACTCGGTGTGAAAACTTGTATGTCATGGGTATTTTTTTCGTCCTTGGCTTTTCTACTCACCTGCTATATCCTCTGAGATGCTCAGATCTAGTGGGAAGAAAAAGAAGATACATTAGGTTCAAAATCATTTCTTAGTATCCTAAACGTGAAAATCAGATCACCTCTTAATCTGTGGTATGACAGTGTAAAGAGGTCTAGGTTTTCATGCCGCTCTTTGTATGATAAATCCTGGAGTCCTGCGAACTGTACGGGCAGCTGCCTTCTGTACTTTTTCCAGGATATCTGAGTCTCCTTTTAAGCAGGGGCCTACAGTCTGAACACAGTTCTCAAGTTTAGTTCTCACTAAGGTTTTGTATACTGTAGTCAACATGGCACTATCTAACTTGGTGAATGTCCGTCTTAGAACCCATAGGGTTCTAAACCCTGTAGCTGCAACCTCCCAGTAGTGAGCTGTGGTCTCAACATCATGACGCACTGTTACCTCAAGATCCTTGTGAAACTGGACCACAGGTATAGGCACTTTTCCTATTCTGTACCTATTTACATTTGTACCACCAAAGTGCGTCTCGTCGTATTTTTCGCTAGAATTTTACATTACATGTCGATTAAAAAATTGTGAAATATAGATTTCAGAAGCATTAAACTTGTCTACAGTAAATGAAACGACCATTGAGTCATAGTGTAGTGTGTGCTACTGATGTCGATGGATATAAGTAGCATATATCATCTATCAGAAGTGAAATGTCTGGCGGCAGTAGGTCAAGAAGCTCAAAGAGGAGAGAGCGAGAACAGAGAATGATTGGTCTTAAGTACAACAGTCAAATTAGGTCATTCAATAGCTAAGATTGCTATTGATTAATTGGCCTTGAGGTTGGCCAGGGGAGGAGAAGCGGTCGAAGATATTTCTTTTATACGTATAGCTCCGGTTTCTTCATCCAGATGGCTACTGTTTCAGCCACTTGAAAGACTTTAAGTCCCTCAAGCCTTGGCAGGAAATTAATGACCTGATAAATAATTGAAAAGGATTGATTTATACTGGCACTATGAGCGATTCGCACTAAATTGGACAATATCTTCATCAGACCTTTGCTGAGACACACTGGGAGGTGCTCACCAGCATGACAATGTAAATTCCTAGAAGCTCGATCAATATGACTTGTTCTGCAGGAACAGTCGAACTGATAAATACAAAATAAGGTGGTCATTCTAGGTACTTCATCTTTCAACTTTGGCGTCACTGTTGGGCGCGTAGAAAACACTAATCGTAGTTCTCGGGCGTTGAAAATTTTTTTAGATTGTTTCCCGTAATCTCTGAGTTAATATTTCGCTAGCCGCGTCCCCTCTGATATGTAGGCGCATGAATAGGGATTTCTTATTCAGCGTTTGTATTTCGCCTAATTATAAACTTTCTAAGATATCCGTTCTCCCTAAGAGCATTACGCAAGGTTCTTAGCTCTTTTTCAACTATATCTGTAGAACATATAGTTCGTATTCGGTAACTAATAGTTTTGGTCAAGTTTCTTTCGTACTACGGAGGTAAAAAGCTGAGGAAATGTGTGTACTGCCTTGTCCAGGTATTTTTCCTGTTTAATGATCTATCAGCTTTCGTAGTTAAGAGCTCGTCCAAAAAGGCTAATCTACTATAACTCACTTCTTCAGAATGGCTAGATGCACTTCATTAAACTGCCTAAGAACTTCTTTCTATAATGTATTATCTTTTTAGAGGATGAATGTATCATCCATATATTGACAGTAAATTATGAATTTTTGAACAATCTTTTTTTAGTGGACCATTTTCTAGTTTGACTATAAAAATATAGGGGCGCAATGGTGAACCTATTGTCTAGATATTTCACCGTTGAACATGGAATTCACATTCATGGTGCATTTCAGTCATAACTCTTTCATGACATTGATAGGAACTATAGTTTCAATTTCATTTTCACTCAATTGTTCACATGTATATTCTACTGTCTCTATGGGTGGAACGTTTTTGATGTTGTCAACATATTGGAATACATCCATAACACTATATTTTACAAGATTTTTTTATAGAGACGTTTCAATATAGTTACCAACCATTTAGCTATAGTATGATAAAGAGAGTTGTGCATATCTAAAATTGATTTTAGTTGGATCCTTAGTTTGTGTATCTTTGGTAATCTATATAATCTTGGCAGGTAGGTTCCTATTGGTTTAATTATTTCATATAAACCCGACAAGATAGTAAGTAGATATGGAATTTAACAGGGTAACTAACAAAAATTATTGACAAAAGGGGTTTGTGCAGATTTTTAGAAATTTAAATTTAAATCATAAGTCAATTGAAGTCCCATACTAGAACGAAACGGCTGTCCAGTGCTTCCAGGTTTTCAATGGTGGTCTAGCTTCAATTGACTCATGGTTTCAATCTGTGAAATTTATAAAAATCTCCACAAACCCTTTCTGTTAATAATCATCTGCTCACTAGTGACTGACTTCAACAGATACTCCTGGAGTTCTAGTGAGAAGATGTTACCAGTCGAGTTCAATCAGGTCTGTTGTGAGATATCAGCTCACTGAAGACAATGGTATACGGTGGCGTAACTTCGTAGATTGGTTGAAGTTAGACATTAACACCGTTGGATGCCTGCTTAGTGGTATAGTTGGTTAAGCTCCTGGTGCGAGACTGATAGGTCCTGGGTTTGAATCTCGCGGAGTGCGGGATCGTGGATACGCACTGCTGAGGAGTCCCACAATAGGACGAAACGGCCGTCCAGTGCTCCCAGATTTCCCATGGTGGTCTAGCTTCAAGTGACTCATGATTTCAATCTGTGGAAAATTATTAAAATGAAAAGTTAAATGTAATTCATATGATCAAGTAAAGTGGTACTTAAATGTTGACAATACGATATATGACACATGATCATGATCATTCATTCAATTGTAGAACTGTTAAATGATGACTTTTATGTTTATGAAAATAGGAAAACAAAATGTTAAAAAGGGTATATTATAGTTTATTAAAATGATGAAACAATTGGTCAGATTGCAAAACACATAATAATAATACATGTAAGGAGGCCTGTTTGAATATCCAGGTTACCTGTTCCTGTTATCTATCTTGATAGAGCTTTGTTCTCTGAGTTGGATGGTTTAGTCGTGAAGTTTTCTTTGTTCTTCTGAATGACATCATTAGCGCAAACTTCAGATATTTCAACAAGTTATCTGGGTTTTTTTTGTTTATTTTAACACATCATTATGCCTATTAGTCTCATAGTCTATTCAGGTGAGTTTGTGAAAAGTTCACGACCTTTCACTGTACAAGTTACAAAACAGAAGTACAATAAAATATATCGAAGTGGTTGGCAATATACATCGAAATGAATATACAGTAATTTGATGTCGATTGACTGGATGCCTAACTTCTAACTGTGGAGATCAATCAATATTTATCGTCAGAATCAATGAACCATTAAGAAATGGAAATTTGTTGCAATACTCTGTATTGAGAATTCTATATTGTACTAAAAGTCCATAAAACTCCACCCTAACAACTGGAATGAGCTAGGAAGGATTGCCCAGGACAGGGTTAAGTGGACAATACTGGTGGGCGGCCTTTACTCCTTCACGAGGAGTAACGCGTAAGAGAGAGAAGAGAGACTAAAAATGCATCATATCGAAGAAAGCTAATGATAAAATAATGGTATTAGTAGTATATAATTTTTTCTGGTTAGCGTTTTTAGCGAGTTAGTTTTCTACGGTATGGGGTCGCTAACCCCATGCCCAACCCTCCTCCTTTATCTGGACTTGGGACCGGCAGTAGCCCCTGGAGGGACTCCATT